AGCTGCCTCTCTGAAGCTGAAACAACGTCTTGCTGCCCTGGGTACATGGCAACTGATGCCAGGCAGTCCCAAAGTGAACAGGGGAGGTCACTCCAAAGCCCTTGAGGAGTTGACAGTTTCATAACCTGGGTCCTTGGAGCCCTCCATTAGTGCCGCACTGCCCAACAGCGAGGTGCCAGCACCTCCTCAGTCTCTGAAAGCCAGGTCTGAGGAAGCCAAGTGCGTTTGAGGCCTGATCCTGGCCAGCGAGCACCACGGGAGCCCCGGGCTCTGCCACCAGTGAGCACAGAGGCAGCCGTCTTGTGTGGCACTGACTCTGCAGCAGGATCCCCAGCTGCAGTCGCTGCAGGGAGGGGGGCAGCAGAGATAGCTGCCATGGTCCAGTGCCTTTGAGCAGAGCAAAACTTGCTCGTAAGCCTGAAAAAGCAGAAAAAAACCCCAAAATTATACTGCCGCCCTCACCTTTTGGTCCCAAGTGCTGGTGGTGGCACACCAGTTCCTGCAGACAGCGTGGCTGTGGAGCCCTTCCAGCTGCATGCTGGGCCTGTCAGCCTTCACTCCCCTTCCTTCTGCCCGAGCGCAGCAGGCTCGTCCCCACGACCCTCTCGCAAAAGGCTGACCAGAAATACAGCATTTATTTACTCTGTGTGCAAGGGCAATACACGCGAGGGGGCTGAGGACGGAGACTAGCTGGAAGTGAGTCAGTAGGTCTCGGTGCTGTGGCAAGACATGTGGAAGTGAAGGGCGGGAGCTCTTGACCTGTTTTCTCCGGGTCCCCTGCCATGTGCAGGCAGGGAGAGTTCTCCATCGCCAGCGCTGCAGGTGCCCGTGCCAGCGGGGAGGTGCCCATCGCACCGGCTGCCCCAGCACGGGGGTGCTCTCCTTTCCCCTCGCTGGGTGGGTGTGGGGCATCGCCAGGTGCCCTGCACCCCCAGGTCTGGCTCACACCACCGAGGGCTGACCCTCCAGCCTTCAGACTCTCTTCATTATGTCAGTACATGGCTGCTCCACCACCAGGTGCCGGTGCCTGTCCCCATCACATCCTACCCACAAGACAGAGGCTGGATCCTGCTCCGAAAGCGGCTGCGGGCAGCGTTATCCTTCCTGCAGGTGATTTGCTCTTGCAGCCTGGTGGGCTCTTTGGGTTGTGTTTGAGTAACCCCATCTTAGTCTTCTAAATTTGGCCTCCTTTTTTTATGGAAAAAAAAAAAGAAATAAAACCCCAAATCCTGACTCTGTAGCAAATTGCAAAGCGCACTCACTCCACGTGCGCTGGTGCAGTGTTGGCCGGCAGAGCCTGCAGACAGCTTGCAGTAGCTCTGGAAGGTGTGTGCTCTTCTGTTTATCAAATGAGTGTTAACTCTGCAGCCTTCTGTTGATGATTTAAATGTCATCATGGCTAACTATTTCCCTGCTGCTCAAAACACAAAGGGAAGCGAAGGCCAGCGAAGGGGGCCTCTTTCTGAGCCTCAGGTGCGCTTGCTGCATGGGAACGGCTTGGAAAAAAATACCCTTACTCTTTTCCATGAGAAATCAGACGGTGCTTAGGATTGGGATGCGCTGGGAACAGCTAATTATCCCCCAACACCCCCATCAGCTCTGCTGGTGTTACCTGGGGAGTCGGGAGCAGGGTGGGGTGTGCTCCTCGTGCTCGGGGGCAATGGACCCACTGAGCCCGTAGCCCTGAGACGGCCGCAAACAGGAGCTGAGGAGGAGCACAGGGCACCAGCGAAAGAGAGGGGGAACAGCCTGCGGCACAGCCAGGTCGTGGCGGCTCTGGTGGGTGCCACAGGGAGGTTTTGCCGTCAGTGAGCGACTGGTATTCCGATGCTGGAACGTTTGCTTTGTTGGCTCGTTCCCTTGGTTACGTGGTATATATTAAGTTCTCCATTTGGCTTCCTTATGCAATTAACTGGCATTCTGTTGCATGAATTTTGGAAACATAATCAGAGCTAAAACTTCACGGTCAGGCCTGGCTGACCCTGGCATGCCCAGCCGGAGCAGGCTGCTCCCAGCACACACCGCACGAGCACCGACACTGCTCACTTTCAGGGAGCGATGCAAAACAGCGCTCAGCATTGGCAGCCCCAAGGTTTGGGGAGTGGGGGTACCACGAACTCCCCTGCCTGGCAGCGGGGTGCCTGATGGGGTTGCGTCTCGGCACCCCGGGCACTTGTTGGCAGTGGCTGCTTGCTTGGCGGGGCTTGTGCACTGCTGGCTCTCTCCGTGGCTCACAGATTGTCAGAGTTTTCTGCACATCCCCATCCTGTAGGTATGTATGCGCTGTTCCTCTGCGGCCGTGGGTGTGCATATGGCTGGCTGTGTGGCAACTGTGTTGAATGCCAAAGCAGAGAGGACAATGTGTGTAGTAGCGAAGGGTGCCAGGATTCTGAGTTGCTGGAAAGCCGGGGAGAGGCAACGCCGCGCCCCACGCACCAGGCTACCAACTGCGGAGACGAGATGAGCCCGGAGGCTGCGGCGAGGGAGGCAGCGAGGGCGGCGCGGGCCAGCAAGCCGGCTCCACTGAGGATTAGTCAGTACAGTAGGGTGCGAGGAGGGAAGGGCAACCCATGGCAGAGGGGGAGCCTGTGGTGAGTGAAGCGATGCCACCCTGCCCATGGGAGCTCGGCCCAGGGTAGTGCTTGGCAGGAGGTGGCACCGGCCACATGTCCCTGTCCCTCCGAGGCTTTCGAGGGTCCTGCTTGGGTTAATCAAACCACACCCGGTGCTTTTCTGCTGAAGCGTCCTGTTGAAGAGCTGTCTAAAGCCTTTCCCAATGTGCTGGGAGGATCAGAGCATCCCAATATTGGAGCATCTGGATGTCCTGACCCTGAACCGTGCCCTGAATTTTTCCCATGGCTGAGAGAGAGGCACCAGGCATGGAGCACGTCTGAGGAGGGACAACCCTCTCAGGCCACGTTCCCTGGAGCCCCCATCCCGTCTCTCAGCTCCGGATGCTCCCCAACCTCATTCTTCTTGAAGCACAGTACCCGCTGCAGGGTGTGGGGTTGCTTTGGCTTCACCAGGGCTGAACCAGGCAGGGGATGAGGGTGCATGTGTCGCAGGTGGCACGGCCCCATCCCAGATGCAGAACTGCTCTTCCACCTGGGCACCTGATTATTCCCACCTAGAAAAACTCCTGTTTCCTCTTCCTCCCTATAAATAGGGCCTTACAGCCACCTCACTGAGTTTCCTTCCATGGTGTCAGATGATGGCTTTAGCATAAGTGATGTTTGCTGTCCCCTCCATCTTACAACCCAGCACTGTGGGGTTTTGGAGGATGGCCGGACTGTGCCTACACGGGGTCGGATAGCAGGGAGCTGGGCAAGCAGGACACAACCAACGTGCTGGCATTGGATAAGGGGACCTGTGTCCAAACAAAGCCATGGCAGCTCCGATTTGGGATACAAAGCACATACAGAAAGTGGATCCATACGATCTACAAGCCATCAATTAATGATGGATGTAAAATTCACAGGAGGAGCCCTACGTGTTGTCCAGGGGCCACAGGCAGAGGCAGGGCTGCATGACGGGAGAGGCGTTTGCCTGCTGAGCCCCAGGTCCCACCACCTTGGCCGTGCCGTGCAGACCTGCCTGTGTCCCGTCCCTCATTCCCTGAGCGGAACGAGGGCAATGAGGCTGGTGAGGGGTCTAGAGAATACGTCTTATCAAGAGCAACTGAGGGAGCTGGGGCTGTTTCGTCTGGAGAAGAGGAGGCTGAGGGGGGATCTTATCGCTCTCTACAACTACCTGACAGGAGGCTGTAGTGGGGCAGGTGTTGGTCTCTTCTCCCAACTAACTAGCGATAGGACGAGAAGAAATGGTCTCAAGTTACACCAGGGGAGGTTTAGATTGGATATTAGGAAAAATTTCTTTACTGAAAGAGTGGTCAGGCATTGGAACAGGCTGCCCAGGGAGGTGGTGGAGTCACCATCCCTGGAGGTGTTTTAAAAGTGTGTAGATGTGGCACTTCGGGACATGGTTTAGTAGGCATGGTGTTGTTGGGTGGATGGTTGGACTTCATGATCTTAGAGGTCTTTTCCAACCTATGATTCTGTGAGTCACTCAGATTGTGAGGTTGGGTCCAGTCCTCTCCAAAACTGTTGCTGTTGAGTGTAACAGCTCTGGATGTTCCAATAGCCAATTGCTTTGCAAATCCTGCTAAATTTTAGACCTCAGCAGCTGTTTATGGCCTGATCCTGATGACCTGGAGTGAAACTGCCACCTTATTTTCCTGTGCATTGTTGCTTGTGGGGAAAACAGAAGTTTTTGACCTGTACATTTACCAGTTCTTATTTTACAGCCTACAGTTACATGCCTTTCATTTCAAGTCTGTGTGTTTCCCAGAGTCCTGCTTTGACGCTCTGGTTATGGCAGATTTTTAAGCAGTATGGTGTACAGCACTGAGGCAGGCCACACCATTTTTTTGATATAAGGGCATCACAATGTTTTCCACTCTTACTGTGCCCCACACTCACACCTCGTTTCCTTTGCACCCGACTTATTTGGTAGAATAAATTATTCTGAATTCCCCATTAACACAGTCATGCTACTAAAAGATTTAAAAGATATAAGCTGCTAAGGATGTTTATTATGTTATTATGTACAGACATTATTTTTTTTCCTTTAAATGGACTGACCCCCTTTCTTTCCTTCCTGCAGCAGTGAATTCCCGAGGTTAATTACATGCTGTGTAACAAAGGCGTTATTTCTTTTTGTGCCTCCGGTTGTGTTCCTTTTCATGGCTGGAGAAATGAGCTGGGAGAATAAAGGCTTTGCGCTGAAGTGCATTAAAGTCAGTGGGCTTTGGCTCATGCCCAGAAAGAAAAGCAGTGCACGGTTTAATTCCAGGGCAGGCTCGAGCGATTGCATTTAAGGTTTTTTTCAGCGATGATGGTGCAGCTTTTAGGTTGGATTCTCAATATTCAGCTATCAGAGGGGAAAAGCAAATTCCCCTGGAACCGGCACAGAGCCGTAACGCGCTGTCTGCCTCTCCCCAGGTGAATGGCAGCGATGGGATGTTCAAATACGAGGAGATCGTCTTGGAAAGGGTAAGTGCCCTTTACTCACCCACCGGCAGCCTTTGCAGCCTCTTCCCACTCGCCCGCCCACCAGCGCAGCCGGCACCCCCGCATCCCCGCACCAGCTGATGGGGAGAGCTCGGTCTCTGCTCCCCGCCGCAACCCCCGCCAGCACAGAGCCGGGACGGGGGGTGGGCGGGGGGGAGGCTCTTGGTCACCCCCTCTGCCAGAAAATAGAGGTGCCGGGAGCTCTGCACGGACGGGCACACCCCACAACCGGGCATGGTGGGCCGATGCCTCCCCGCCACCAGACTCCCCATCACTCCCGGGTACACGGCCCGGCGATTACAAGCGGCAAGGACAGCTTTCCTAGTAAACCGTTCTGCAGCTGGGAGTTTCTACCCGAGTCTTTTCTTGTCTGTTGGCAACGCAGACCTGACAGTGTGCACCACACCGGCCGTGGCTAAAATTAAGCTCCCCCCATGGATGGGGTTTATCCAGAGGCAAGCTGGCACCGTGCAGGGCAGGGGTGGCTTTCCCCTGGCACCCAGGGAGTGGCAAGGGTGGAGGGATGGAGAAGAAGCAGGAAAAGCTGACCCCATGTTTGCTCGGAGAGGTGTGCACAGCCCTGCCGAGTGAGGATGGCCGGGGTGGGGGGCTGCTCCATGGCACACCTTGCCTCCAGCTGGCTGCCGCGCCGCGTGGCTTGGCCCTGCCACGTGGCCAGCGTCACAGGGGAAGACGCATCGCTCGTTATTCTGTTCCTCTCTGCCTTTAGTCATCTCCCTCCTCCCCTTGGCTCTGCATCACGGAGGTGGGTGGACAGAAGGTTATCTGGGGCTGCCGCCTCACCCACCGCTTCCCCGGCGTGCCTGACGAAACCAGCCCAGGGGATGCTTCCTTTTTGGGCTGAGCGCTTCTCACTCCAGGCCCAATTTAGAGGCAAACCCCTTGTTTTCAGGGATTCTTTAGAGCATCCTCTGTCCTCAGTCCACAGTAGGAGCAGGGGTGAGAGCTGGCAGGGTTGCACAGAGAGGCAGCACTCGTTGCTGCACCCATTTCAAAGCCCCAGGCAGCAATTTCCTCTCCGGCAGCGAAAAACCATGAGGAAATCTCAGTGCTTAGCAGCCAGGGCCAGCATGGACCATACCCCGGTCCTTCCCCTTCCCCTGTCCCCCAGTGGGATCCAACAGCCCTGTCTTACTGCAGAAAAAGCACCTGCAGAGGGATGTGGCTTTGGGTTTATCCACCATTTATGTGTCCGCAGCAGGAGCTGCCCCTGCGTCTGCATCAACCCTGATGCCAGCTACGAAATCCCTTGAACTCCATTTCAATTTTTAACAAAATAAAAATAATCACCTCCTGGATCATTGCAAGGGTTTTTTAGCTAGCGTCAGAGCATACACTTCCATAGAAAGGCACAACGAATGGCTGGAGACCATTTTGCACAGTCTCACCTGCCTTGCTGGGGCCAGGCTGGGTCTCTGGTGACAGTAAGCAGCCTTTCTGATCTGGACACGGAGCAACCAGAATCCAGCTTAGGGGAAGGAGAGCGGCTTCAGACCTTTCACCGTCGAGTGCCTCCTCATCATGTGCCAGCCAAATTCCATCTGGCAGGAGAGCATCCAGGAGTGTTGCGTAGTGAAAGGCATGGGTGGCTCCCAGAGATGCCACGTGCTGTGTCATGAGTGGCATAAAGTCAGAGCCAGGACCTCTGCATTGCCACAAGAGCTGATGCTGAGCCAAAATTGCTGGGGAGCAGCACAAGCCCCAGCTGGCTGCTGGTGCTAGATGATCCTGGGGAGCCTGAGCTCTGGTGTGGCCCTCCTGGCCACAGGTCCCCCAGAAGGGCAGCCCTCCCCATCACCTAGAACTGAGCACTGGGGCCGTGGGCAGGCAGCAGAGTGCTTGGCCCGAGCCCATTTGTGTACGAGAGAGGCGGGCACGATAGGATGTGACTAAGTGTCAGCTCTTCCGCATGAGAAAACAAGGCGAGGAGCCATCTGATTTTCAAGGCAGAGCAAAAAAAGCAGGAATTGTCCGCTTGCATCAGGCACGGAGCTGGAAGCAGCGCCTGTGAGTGTGTCACTAATGGGGATATTGTGAGCAGGAGAGGTGTTGCAGGGCCACGGCCGCTCATCCTGGGATGCTGCCGGGATGGGGCTGGAGAGTTGGCATGGCACCTGTGTTCCCCCCTGGGCAGACTT